CGCTTGAGGCCTCCGCCAATCAACGAGTTCAGAGCATCACTGGGAATTGGCTCATAGTCGCGCTTGAGGCCTCCACCAGTCAACGAGTTCAGAACATCACTGGGAATTGGCTCATTGTTTGCGGCCACAGCTTCCTTATTGTCCTATAGTTGGTCAAAGTATGTACCGTCAAGGATGGGTTGATCATACCTTTGGAAAAGGCGCTGCTAGGGCAGAAGAGAAGAGCATCAAAACAGTGGCCAAGGTGGTTTTCATGGTGACTGATATATTTTGTCAACTGACTTGATGAATGTGCGAGTGTTGTTGCTTGGGTTGGGAGATGGAACAAGTTGATGATAATAATAACGGTAATGGACGAGAAATGTTGCCTTTTTATGTCTGTCAACGCATGTTCCTTGGAATGTTCAAAGTGAGGCAGGTCACAAAATTGTCATCTTTGTGACGGTGATATCACTTGAAGTGTGATTGATTGGCGACATGCATCCTTCGGATGGAGGATCAATATATTACATAGGCTATGCCGTATAAGGTAGGACTGGGCCATACTTTCCAATCTATAGCTTGCGTGTCGTGGTTGCAAATCTTCAAGAAGTACTTCCTTGTATCTCATCCATACTGCAAAATGGTAATCACATGGCCAGGCAGAGGCCCGAGATCCTCGATCCTGCCTCAATCAACAAAATATCCCAGGTGATCCATCCCTTCAGATATCTTATGAGTTAGTGGGTTATTTTCAGCACGAAGATCGCCTTCCCAACAGCCCTATCTTCGGGATTTATCCGCAAAATCCAATTACAAAAGGTTACCGTAATCGACATCAAGTCCAGACCTCTGGAATATTAAGTGTAGTTGATACTTGATGTTGTGGTTGTGTATTACACTGTTGTCATGGATTACAATGCGGCTTGGGCTTTAACTGCAGTGGGTCTAGTGTGTCACCAAATAGGAATAACTAGTGCAAAATCATGCAGATTTTGCGGCTTAATCTGCGCTTGGTGTGGATGCGGACCCATCCAAAATCTGCGCCAAACCACTCCGAATGCAACTCTAAAAACGACAAAGGCCAGGTGGTCATCAAAAAGGTGCAGATATCTGACTTTGAGGATATAGTAGAGCTGGTATCGATCTCGTCAAAACCGGGCGTCAGATATGTTTTATTTTGCAATTGTACAGAGTAGTACGTCACTTCTTGTAATGAATTGTGTCTCCCTAATCCTTCTGCACTAGTGAGGGTGAGCTGAAATTGGCAGATTCTTGGCGCTATGTACTTTTTTCGATGCATATTTGAGGATAACCTGAATGGTTTTCTTTTCTTTTCTCTTTTCTTTCTTTCTTTTTTTTATTTTTATTTTTTTTTTGAATATATTGGAGAAGATAATCCTTTCTATGAGCATTTCATGGACATGGCGAATAGCTAGCATCATTGGTAAAAAATGATCTAACCTAATCTGAGACAGATCCTTGTGGGGATCAAGCTAGAGTAAATGGTTGCTGTTATTCCCAAAGACTATTAGGCTGTGGATCTTTCAACGTGCATGAATGCACTGTGGGACAGTCCAAGCCACACTGCAAGTCCAGCGCATACAATGATATTGCAAGATTGCCTCCAAAAAGCAATGCAATGTACGTACCACTCTCAAAATAACACTATTCGGTAAAAGGCATCCAATAGCTTGCTGCTTCATACTCAATGCTATGTTACGGCTGAGTTGAGGTAAATCACTAATTGTGTTTTTAGGTAAATAGCAGTCTCGGGGTAACCGACGGATGTTGATCTCCGGTTCGATTCGATGTGATCTACGTGCATTGTGCATCAATAGTTCTGATCATGGGTTCTCTTCTAATACTCCGCTTCTTCAAAAGATTGTGACCTTCGGTGCGATTTTTATGTATTTGAAAACACTACATGCAACACAAACACTCAAAACAGCAAAGACCGACACTTTCAAATTTGGTGTCCATCATGCAACCCCTGTAAAAAATCCCCATGCGCGTCCCTCACTGCATCCCCCCCAAATACCTTCTCGTCCTGACGAATCCGGAACCACCCCTGCTGCGTCTTGTCCAACATTCCCTGCCCACAGGATGGAAATTTCGTTGTTGCCACAATCCCCCAGTGATCCAGGCTTAGACTCCGATCCAGAAGCATTTTTGAACAGTGCTCTGTATGCCCAATGCCAGCTGAATACCCATCAATCCGGCTGAGATCACCCGTAAACAGGGCCCGGTGGAACTTTTGCCAGATGTACACACAGTGCGTGAGATGGTATCTGTAGTTGGTAAACAGGTACTCAAAGTCGCCCGTACCGACATCCTCCTGTGATATGACGTGTTTTCCTTGCGGATCGCGAGACCAGGTCCAGTTACCCGCTTCCAGGAACATTTCAGTCACCTCTTTGTCATCGCAGACTGGGGGAAGCCAGGAGAAGGACATGATATCGAAGCGACAGCCCCGAGCTTTTGCTTCTGCGGCGGAAGTGCCGCATTGATAGTTCATTTGGGGTGGAGAGGGCGATTCCACAGAGGGATGCTGTTGAATATTGTTCACGAACACAAAAATACATGTCGTCAGGGAGATGGTTATTGCCAGAAGTGAGATAATCGTTGTTTTGGAAGTCTTCGAGGGAGGCTTGGTGTGCGGCTGTGACCTTTCTGTGTCAAAGCCATCGTGCTCTTCTTTGCGTAGTCTTGTATATGACATGGCTGTGGTAGCTGGTAATAACAGATAGAATGATCTTGAGATGAATGGTTTCAGAGGAAATGGGTAGTACACAACAAGTTTAAGGCACGAAAATTTAAGTTCTCGATTTGATGCTGACTTTATGCGTGCTTTTTCCAAATTTGATTGTCACTTGACTTTCCAGCTGGAACTGCATGCATGCAGTGAGCAAAATTCAATATAGTACGAACATCTGTAATTTGGAATGATCCATTTGGTATGCATGAATCTAAGATGTGCAATCTACATCACATTTATTGATGCTAATCACTTTTTTTTTTTTTTTCAGATCAGCAGAGGACAGTGTACCCCAGTCCAATATTGTATCTCCCTTATCCCCCCATTTCATACCGATTTCTCTCCCCCCCCTCCCCATTACTCTCTCCAAACAACCAAATCATGTACGAACAACTTCCTCAGCGGTCAAGCACCGAATTCCTCCCAGCCACCAAAAACACGGACCATCTAAACACCCTCACCCAAAGACTACCCTCCTTCAAACTAAAAGGCATCCCCCTCATCCTCCTCACCCTCCTTGCCACCTTCGGCCTCCTCGACCTAGGATACCAAACCTACAACTTCATCCACACCCACACTCACACCAGAACACCCATATCCTGCAACTGCGGCTCCACTGTCCCCGAGGCCCTCTCCAACAACTGCAAATACGACTCCCTAGCCGCCGCCTGGCTCCCACCGGCTTGTCGTAACGACGCCCTCACCTCAGCATTCGAACGAGTCGGTTCAAATCCTGATGGAAGCTGGCCATACTATGCAGATGTAAACGGAACAAAGCCATTATCAATGGAGGAGGTGTCTATGCTTCCTGAAACTGGCGGAGGCGGTGGTGATGCTGGAAGTGTCTTTTTTACGACCCGTGGATGGCATCTGGTGCATTGTATGTATTATTGGAAGAAGATGTTTTGGTCCAGGGAGTTGGGGACGACGATTGAGAGAAGGTATGATAGTTTGGGACATATTGAGCATTGTCAAATGATGGTGATGAAGGGGGGGGGATTGGATGAAATTGCTACTGCGGCTGGGGTTGCGTTGCATTCGGATTGGATTAATGGAAAGATGGATACAGAGAAAGAACATGAACATAAACATGGGAATGGTAATAACCATGATAGTCATTGAATGCTTGCAACATGTGTTAGGGGCTAGGCCCGCAAGGCTAATGACTAGTTATCATACAAGAGATTTCATTGAAAAACGAAAGAACAGATGACCAATCAGGCATCTCTATATACATTTGTACACACACTGTGTAGTGGTTGCAGATGACGAAGCCTCGTTTTCAGGTTACAGGTCGGGTGGCATCGTTCTAGAGGTGCGGTGCCGCGCTAGTGAGTCCTGGTTCTGTAGGAAAAGCAACCCATTAATATCTTGTCCATTAGGGTATGAAAGAAGTCGTTGTTTTTGAATGATTGTTGCAATTCGGTCTTTATTACAGAAGCTTGAGTGGATCTCTGCTAATGTAGAAGCATTATACTGCTGACAAAATGCCTCTAATTGTGGATTTCGAAGAAATTGTGCTAACAAACTAGTTAGCAAGTACTTCCAAACTGCTTAGCAACTACATACCTGTAGTCAAACTTGGGTCTTGTATTTGTTGAATAATTCTTTTAGCTCCTTGTAAAATCCGTTCCGGTGCCTTGTGTGACGGCTCAACGACCAGACAAACATTGCCAACATGCCAAAAGATGCCATACAAGCAATATGGACAAACAAGGGCT